GGGAACTTACTGGGTACATTTTCTGCTTCGTTGTTGGGCTTAGATGCGGATGAATTGTCCACTTTCTGAGATAAATCAACCGCAAAACCCCTGGATTCCACATCCATTTGATGATCCATAGGTGGATTTATAGGAACAGCTGGGTTTTCCACACGCACACTGTCCGAGAGATCCGGATCTTCGGAGATCTGTTTGGAAACGATTTTCTGTGCAGTTCTTATTTCATTTTCACCGCTGTATGGAGTAGTCCATCTATTGTCCTGCGATAGATGTTGATCTATATTGCCATTCTTGTCGCCCAGAGAATCCTCTATCCCATTGGACTGTACCTCGTCCGTTGAGCTCCATTGCTCGTCTGTATTTTGGTAACCATTCATCTGCATCCGGTGGATTGGTAAGTTGTCTGATTGAGTCGGATGCAATGGAGATACTGTTTGGGAAGAAAACCAGTAGATTGTGCACACTGAAGCAGAGCTACTTGTTTCGATGTCTGTGTACAGGATGTTGCAATAGTCAATTCTTTTCAAAATATGTACTTCCGAAGACTACTACATGTGATAAAAAAGCTACATTTTATTCATGAACAAGTTCAGGGAATAGCATTTTTCATTGTACATGCGTCCTTTTAGCTGTTCCACTGTCTGCTGTGAGGTTCAATTTTTTTCGAAGAAGACTTATACGCAGTGGTACTTTTTAGAGTCCATACAAATGAACAGAAACACCAGAATCAATAGCTTGTGGTCTTATGTGATTCTCTCTCTGTTCGTATCCGGTAATTGAAATGGATTTTTAGACGCCACAGAAATTACTCATGTGAACCAGGGGGTGGAAAAAACTCCATAATTGTACGCGTCGATCCGAAACCGCGCAGTAAAGGGATGGGTAATGATTCTGAATGGCGACGGGCGATTTCATTTCGGTCAAGAAAAGCTGATAAGTGTAAACTACTGAGGAGTCTCATGAAAGGTATTAAATCTATTCAGTGCTCTCTTAGTGGTCCGTAGCACACACACACAATCCCGTCGCGGATAATTCCTTTTCACGTTCACGTTGACTTTTTGATTTAGAGTCAGACGGATGAGGTGAGGTAATTTCTCAAAATGTTTTCCATGCATAAAGTATGTTTAACTTGGAGAACGATAGTCACCGATAAATGTAGCTTGTTTCATACAAAAATGAGAGATTATTCTCTTGATAGGATTACAATGATACTCCATTGTTCTCATGACCTTTATATGTCAATAATCTTTATTCATCATTTGGGTAGGTCTGTCATCCATAAATACTCTGTAATACAAGTCACATAGCGAATAATTCATCAAATGAACGAAGCTTTCCTGGTCAAAAATGGCTGATCAAAGTATGGTCAACTTTATCATTTTAATAAATCAAAACGTAAAAGTGTTTAAAAACTGTAATTCGAAAGAATATGCTTTTTGAAAGAAACTCATAGTTTGAGATCGATGATTGTTGGTAATATGACTCACCAGGTGTGGTGAATGGGCTTTGTTCCTGATAAGACTCTACAGCATCTTTCTCCAGTTTGGAGTTTTCGGTGATTGGCTGATTGATGTTCAAAGTCACGTGGGCCTCGGAGTTCAAATCGGGTTTTTCTAATGAGACTTCGTTGACAGTCCGGTTCGAAATGAATTCACCAACAGAAGGGCTCTTCCTCTCGGGATTGGTGTTCTCTTCATCCGCAATCAGTGTATGTCTCGATGGAGGTTCAGTTTCCTCACGATTTGATTGGATAAGAACGGAGGGATCAGCTGAATGATCGTTCTTGAAGATATTCACCTTCGACTTTTCTTTTGTGAAAAAAGTTTGATCCCGGAGCAAATGAAATGATTTGAAAAAGTATACACATGAATTGACTCGATCAAAGTGTTTCTTAGGAATGTATAAAAGAAACTGACACTCAAAAGTTGTGTAAATTGTCGATATATTTGTGAACGGTCTTCTTGTAAAAGTTCTTAGAAGGACAATTATTTCAGAGATGTTGGTGTCTTATTATGCAAGGATGCAGGAGTTTGGGTACAAGAGACATCGCGCTGAAGGTGAAAGTGACGTATCATACTTAAATTTATCTGCTTTTCCACCACCAACACATACGAGCATAGAAACTGAATATGTGTAATAAAATAACTTTACAGATATCTTCAAGTATGTGCAGGTAAACAGGGTTGGACATTTTGCAACTGAGATTCAGAGAGCTAGGACCAATTAGAACTGCGAGATGCTCATCGTCCACTGGGTAAATGTATGCTCCGAAATGGCTGCCAAAATAAGAACGTATAGCTAATACACGATATAACCTGTTAATGGAATTATAATCATCATTAAAAGTAAACAGTAATAGGTTCAAATATGACAGACGAATTATTTTGACAACAATTCCTTCTGTCTAATTCACAGCATTCTGCAAATGTTTCAGTTGTTCATCTTCTGCTCAATGGTTGGAATTTTCCTTGGGTGGAGATATTTGAGCCTACAACGGAATCAACTTAACATGATCACGTACATAACTTATTAGTGAAATAAAATTTACGTTCAAAATGGCTCAAGGATATAGTTGTATTGTGTGACGGCCTCCGGTGTAACAGAGAGGAACACCATTCAACAACCATACATGTAATCTTCATTCTTCCATCCTGTAAACTTATACGGATTCTTATGATTATAAAACAACTCCACCCACCAGTTTCCTGATCTCTCCTGGTGTCACTGATGAGAATAAATGTGCAGTTGCGCATTCATTACTTTTAGACCTTGAGGCTGTGCTTGTCAGCGAATCGAACATAAATAGAAGACAGGTTTCGTTTGGTCAGATTATTTACAGAATGGTGAGTGAAGATCGATCCAATTTGTGTATGTGTTCTATGAATGTTTTATTTTAGAGTAGTCTTAAAAGATCGGACAACAGATTTAGATGGCACAGTTTGCATCCGGTTATATTTCGTCGTATGTCATACCATAGATTATGTAATATAAAACTTAACTACAATTCAATGACACTAACGGTGATAATCCCCTAACGCAAACCAAGGTAACGAATAACCACCCTTCTTGTCTGCGCATACTAGGCTGCTAACTGTGGATCGTACTTGTTTAAGCACACTGCAGTAAGCGTGATTCGATGTCGTATAGGATCATGGAGACCGCAGTAGTTCCATCGATCAAATGCTTTGCCTCAACCAAATGACTTGGGATGGGAGAGACTAATGACTGTCTGGTGGGTGAATTTTGACCTGGGTTCCATTAGTTGAAATCGGTTAAAACTCTCTTTAGGACACGTCCAAATACTCTCAGTTGAAGCTACTGTTCGATTCGGCCTAGGTAAGTGGCTGAGCATCCTTACATTAACATATGTGATTCGACACAAGTTGATGACGATTGCTTAGCTTTGGGGAAGGGGACAGGTTTGCGGGCTTGCTGTAGAACCGATTTGACGGAATTGTAAGACTGATTGCCGATTTAAGGTGACACGCAATGAAATCGACCATATAATCGCCCTTAATGGCAAACGCTAGAAAACCGTCAACTCGATGATTGATATGGACAGGTTTTTTGGTTCGTGAGAAATGCAATGCCTCTTTACAGACGCTAGTGGTAGCCATTAGTCTGCTTCTGTCAGTGTATCAGATGAACACAATCTGCGGATCCCTCGCTCATTGTTTTCACAAAGTTACATTCGTAACTCATGGGTACAAAGCTCACAAATCTTAAACAGTCACAACCATGGATGCTCGTGGTTTAACGGTCGGTGAACACTACCGTCTTGATGCCTAGTTATCTTTGTACTTAGCCATGGGACGTTGTCTTCACGTTCGTGTTCGGTGGAGAGCCTCGTGTTTTGATGAACTGTGCCAGGTTTGTGGAATAGTTTGACAGACTCGCATTCGAGCCAGTTGATTATAAAAGTAGCATTGGCAATTTGTTTTCGAAGAAACGTGCTTCGCCGATGACCTGCTCGTGTGTTCTCATTGCTCCTTTTTACCAGGATCATCAGTGGATGAAATCCTAGAGCACTTCCCATGGATACGTCGTCAACTGTCAGAATTTACTGCCCCGAAACTTGAAACCGATTTTATTTGAGTGCATCTCAAAATTAGACGGTTCATTTCTGTTACTGGAATTTTCATATTGGTGTTTACTTGAGAACTGTAAAGTCAACACCTGAAGCGATAGAAACAGTGAGATATCTGTGACTACACATGTTCAGAGGCGAACAAATATTTTCATTGATTCATCTTCTAGCCTCTGAACGTGTGTTCTCATGTCATAATGGGCATCCTCTGGAAGGTAGAATATATCCTTGTACAGATTGGACACATCTGTTGTTTTCTTTTTTCCAGGTGAATACGGGGAAAAGAAACAGGTTAAAAAACAAGTACATGAACTCGTTTAAGCACTATGAACGTATAAACCGTTTTGAGCATTCAATGCGCCAAATAGGTGACTGACTCGTTGTGATAACTGATCCATCAGGCGGTCAGTACACAGGTGACTTGGAATGAGCAGTACATTCATTTCCGTAGCTTTCTACCACTCAATATTAAGAATATTCTCCTACTCTGTTTGGCCAATAGAGCTAGAAGAATTTGCAGGAGGGACATGCTGGTTGAAGAACTCCAAAATGTGCGGAATATCTATTTCCAGATTCAATACCTGGAGAGCTTGGAGGGATCTGTGATGCAACGGCAAGAGGCGTTTCTCAGGAGGGTAATTTCTGAGAGTTCTGTGTATTTCTTTACCATTTTAAGGCCACACTTTGGCAGAGATTGCGTAAAAAGATTATCAAATCCCATCACGGTTGAAGGACAGAGTGCCGGACTCTGCTACCTCTTTCTGTATTTACTCTCTCATTTGTTTCTGTGGAGCAAAGTATGTTGGCCGCTTGACCAGGCGTCTGTCCGAGCGCATCCGTGAGCATCATCCTGTGTGGTTGCGAAGTGGAGCAATTAAGACAATCACAAGTGCGGTCCTGTTGCACCTTGTCGACACAAATCACATTGTAAACCTGACCGAAAACACAATTATTAGGTTGCCCTGGATTACGAGTATACATATACTCCTTCGAATGGCAGAAGTAGGAAACCACCGGGAGTAGGAGTCACAAATTTACTTGAGGAAAACAGTCAGCAAACTTAAACGTACAAAATTAGAGGGCAAGGTACTACAATTGAAGGAAAAACTGAACTGTACATATGACACGGATGAACGCCAAAGATTGATGTGACGTACGAAGACAAACAAAATGGGTGAGAAAGGCCGTTTGAAACGGAACAAGTGAGCGACTTCTAAACCCGTGAAAAAAGAAGTGAGATTAGGATTGTGGGTAGCACTCGCAACAATTCTAGTTCACGCTAAATATCTCACTGTGATTTATTAAAAAATTTGGATTCTTGACACTATTTCAACTTGAAGCATTTTCAATTTTTAATTAATAAATCATTTAGGTCGACAGTTAAGTTAGGTAACAGTAGTTCGTGAATTGGAACGTTCACACTGAGAGAATACAGATAATTTGCGAGTTTCACTAACCGGACACAACGTCTTGCTGACTGTTCTCCACTGATCCAACCGAATCATCTGTCCCCTTGATTAAGCTCGACAACGGTTCCCCCTCGATCACGTGATCACTCGAATCTACGTCCGGCTTGATCGGGGTTACCTCCTGCGCATCCGGTTCGGGATGCGATTCCAAGTCCGCATTTGGCTCACGCTCATCTGTGCTGCTCGTTGAGGGAGAAAACCGGTTCGAATTCCCAAACTGATCGTATGACTTCACAAAATGTGGTCCGCTATCAGTGAACTGTGTATCTTTCTGTACTCCGTTTGACTGAAAACCTGGTGATGCGTCAACGAATTGATTGTCCGATTTCTCACCAGGAGCTGTATACCACCAAGGTGTTTCCGACCCCGTAGTTTTCTTCTCGGGAGGTTCAGTTTCGATGACAGATGGTTTTGTTGGAACAATATCCTGTGATGGGGCTAATTGAATGGAAGTCAACACATGAGTATGTACAAATGCCCCATAATGCGCACACCCGAGTGAACTAATTTTATTTTACCCTAACACTGAANTTTGGTTCTGTTTTTTCTGGCACTATTCGTTAATTGAGTGAGCTAAAAAGAATACACTGTTATCCTCCTCGGGTTTTGTTTATAATCCAGAAACATCTCTTGTACGTTTCTTTTCAATGAGGTAGCGGTTGTTCACCAAAAATAAATATCACAAAGGAGTTTCAAGTGTGCATTATCGAGCATGGCTTGACGTCATTCCATTAATAGAAGACCGTCCACTTTTTTGTTTTGTGATGCTCAAAAATAATGCGGAAAAATTTGATCAAATTCAAATCAAATACCTTTGATACTGTCGAACCAACAATAAACTGACTGACTATCACTGAAAATGAAACCTAAACCGCCCTGGTTTGGGCTAACCGACTGAAGTCGGCTGCTCATACGCGCGGGTGAGGATGCCAGGCATATAAACTACCAGAAAGTGTACATTTTTACCGTCACTCGTCAGTGACGCCCCATATTTGCTCAACACTCACCTAGACACAGGTAGTTAACAGGTTATCGGGTTACACGTTGTGAAAATCGTAGAAAATCATTCAATCAGATTCTATATATTAGTGACTGTAAAGTGACGTTTCCTGTTTCCCAAGTTAACTCCCGTAGAGTGAGATATTTCTTATGTGCAGAAGCTCCCAGGTTTGGAGAAGATTTCCAATCTTGATTGTACCATTAATTTCGTATTTTATGGTTCTGCATCTTTGCAGCACTTCAAAAGTATGACGACAGAAAGCAATCTCTTTCTTGCACAAGTGCAATTATGGGTAAAACATTGTGAACAGCATTTTATCATGTGCTTATTTGCAGGTTTACCAAAATCTATGGTTAGAGTAATGCAATTTTAACTGTTCTGGTAATTGGGATAGATGTGCTACAATAGCTGTGTACGGCCTGGAGTGTTTCACAAGCTCAAGAAAACTGGTCGACAACTTGATTTCCCATTGCTAATCACATATAAATCGATCTTTTTTTATCTTTTTATTTTTTAAAATTTTACTTCCTTTTATTGAACATGCAGTGGTACAATTTTCAGGAAGGGGTAAGCGGCCAATCAAAGGGCTGCCATTCAACACACAATGGGTTAAGTCAGGCGGTGGTGGTTGGATTCGAACGCACGTCCCCTGAGGTGATAATTTGGTGACGTCACCACCGGGCCACCACCGCCGCAAAGCACTGCATACGTAAAGGACCTGACCGGTTTCTCCGTCCAAGATGCATCAAATTCAAATTGTAGGTGAGCTTAGTTTCCACACTAGCATACCACTACGATACCAACCATTAATAAAAAATCCCAGATACTTTCTCAAATTTTTACTCTATTCAGTTATTTGATTGATGCGGAAATTCAAAACCATCACCAATGACAATCACCCACTTTCAGGCGAAGCTATGTGCTTTGTTTAGCCGAGTAAAATGTAACCAGGTGATTACTAAAATATTTCTAGCCTTTTGTTAACTAAGAAATTAAAGCATTTTTGTAGCTTCTTCAGTGTTCGCGATCGTCCAATCAGTCCTTCTTAGTATTGTTATTTTTAGTCCTATTCGACGTATATCAGAAGTAGTTTCAACTAGCAAGAATCCATTTCCGCCTGGTTTTGTTGATTATCGGGTGGTCTCGAGAATTCGGAGTCCTACCTGCTCCATCATTTTGTGCTCTCTTTTCCCCGTTTTTTTTCTCGGGGTCTTCTCTGTGATTCTCCTGCTTGCATGAACGCTTTATACATGACACTGAGATACTTGAGACGGTGCTTTTCATTATCATCGATTTATCTTTGATCGACTAAGCAAGCTGATTTACTGCCAGAAATCACGACAAATTTAGTCGTGCTTACCCATTATAGGCGATAAATTTCTCTCATAGTTTGATATTGGACCTCAGTAAATCATTGTGGATCGAACGCACCTTTTGTCCCTCGCAATAATTGTCGCGGTCCTACTGCTGTATCTCTTCAGGTACATACCACAGTAAAAAATATGATAAAAACCAATACCGATTCCGCAGTATGCTAAATCCCAACAATTATACTAATTCATCTGTGGGTACTCGGTCACCTACATTGGCAGAACCGAGCGGGAGGTTACGCAATGAGCAGCCGAACGTATGCCCGTGTGGTTTGACAAACCGGTGAACAAATTACACTCGAATGCTCAAGGTCAAAGGTCAACCCAAAATCAGCGTTATTGGTCGCCCATCACGTGTTAGAAACTGGGCCTCAAGTGAGCGTGACCCCGGCATTCAAGGATGTATCCTCATCAAGCAAAACCCTCGGTTGTTCCAGTTTGCAGGGCTTTGCAAGCAGGAAGAGTTATCTATTACTCTAGCCTTGCCTTGGTAGAAAAATGGGCGAAGCTACCACCAACAGCCCAGCCCCGCTATTTGTTATCTGTTAGTTTTATTTGCTTTTGACTGTAGTATATACCTGAAAAGCACAGCTAAATTTTCCCCTAAATAAGTTGAGCAACACTGTGTTGCTGTAATCTTTATTCAAGTACACGAATGTTGACTTCACAGGCTACAACGATCCACGTCGAGTGACTCGCAAAACCCCGGAAGACGGTGTCCTTCAACAAATAGGTTTCTTCTACAAAGGCGGTACTGAAATGCAGTTTACAATAGTGAAAAATATGCAAACCTCAAACTGTGGCACTAGCCGGTTAACAAACACCGAAAGCAACAACCGCGAGCAAGCAGGCGCGCAGTGCGATGACAATAGAACGAATACACCCAACAATGTCGAACCAGATCACATGAATCTGTGGTGGTCAATTGTGAGAAGCGACCTAGAGGGAACCAATCACAATCCTGGGGTGTAATTGTGTCATCAGGGCCCGTCGTGACAGGACAATGCGGTGAATCCGTGTAGGTATGTGCATGCGTGTGTGTACACAAGTATCAGAGATAGGCGATCATGGGGACGGGTTTATGAGACGGGTGAGACCGACAGAGGTCAACGTAATGGGGCAGACATACTAATAGTGCGTACATATGTGTAAACGGCGTGGAAAACAGTCATAGGCACGGATCAATGAGGGGATTAAATCAACATTACACGGTCAAAAGGAAGACAATGGACAATAGGATAGCGGTGCTGGGTGTGTGTATGTGAAGAGCGTCAATATGGGACCGAATTTATTCTACACCGCCCTCCAAGCCGCCATGGCTTAGCTAACTCACTACATTCTGGATCCCGTAATGAATTTGAACAGGCTGCAGCTGCAACATTGGTAGAACCGATCGATCGCTGCGAACTAGAATGGCCGAACACATCCCCAGGTATGTGCGTGTATCTATGACTCA